GAGGTGATGGGGTCTTATTGGCCGTCATAAGCCATGTGTGCGTGTGTAGAGGCGAGTTTTACCTGTATGTAGCCTGTGATCGGTGAGCTCCCAACCCTTCCCTCCCTTCTCCCTCCCCGCGCCCGCACGCGTGTGTGTATATGTATGTGTGTATGTGTCATGTCGCATACGACAGACCATTACGCCACGTCATGATGTCTTGGCGAACTGCAGCCACATCATCATCATCGTCGTATATTGCCGTACAGTGCCTTGTGGCGCTGGGCTTATCGCATGTGGTCTGTTCGGCAACCCCACATCAGCCAAAGCCCCCCACCCCCCCACCCCCCACCCGCCACCCCCCCGCTTTGTTGACGTCCCCGGCCTCGTCAGGTGGTGGCTCTGAACCTCCGCTCCGTGGCCCGAGTGGATGAGCCGGAGGCGCCCCTGGAGCTCGAGTACGACTACCCCCGCCTGGTGAATAAGGCCCTGCCACCGGACGTACGGGTGCTGGGCTGGACGGCCGTCCCGGAGAACTTCAACTCCAGGTATGTATGTGAGTGTGTGTGTGTGTGTGTGTGTGTGTGTGGAGGGGGTAAGACTACCGAGTCAACCTCCGATACGTGGTGGCGGGGGCCGGGAGACAAACACACCCGCAGCAAATCACAGAAATGGTAAGGACGTATGTGACGACTGGGTTGCTTTTGTAAAAAGGCGCGAAATGGCCATTAGTTTGTCGGTCGAGTGGAAAGCTGTCCATTCTTGCCTTTAAGATCTACACGCATGATACAAATTTGTGCCGTACCTTTTCTTATGTGCGTACGTAAAACTTTATCCCCCTAACGGGAAAGTCAATTATGACTATGACATGGGTCAGGTAGGGTACGGGGGCGGAGGGGGCGGCTACAACGGCACTGGGAAGGGAAGGGAAGGGTGGGCCCCGCAGGGAGAGGCACGAGACACGGAGGTCTGGGGGGCCGGGAAGGGGGGGGAGGAGGAGGGGTTTTGGAAAAGGGGGGTTTAGAGATGTGGGGGGTAGAGGAGGTGCATGGAGAAGGCGCCAATAATAACCCAAATCACAAAAAGCCGCAACCCGCGTCGCACCTGGGCTCGGCCTGCCATAGGTTCAGCGCGCAGTACAGGGAGTACAAGTACTTCATCGTACGGCAGCGCCTGCCGGCTGCCCCCAGCGCCGCCGGCGACGTGGCCCTTGAAGGGCGCCGTACAAACGGCGCGGACG